ATCCTCGTTCTACTTTTCTCAAGGAGCGCTGCCAAGTCATCCAGTACGTCGGCTAGCAGTTTCTGTAAATCCCCCCCTTTGTCTGTTGCCTCGGCTTCCTGAATGTCAACCGCATACATGTCAGCTCCTTCTGCTACGGCGCGTTTCATTGTGATCGCGTTGACACGCACCGACAAAGGCGCGAGGTAAGGCGGTCTTGTTACCATTCACTCGCACGGTGCAGTCACCCGTCGTCCAGTCGATTCGCGGATTGTGCCGTCGTAGCCAATCACGACCGAGTAAAATGTCGGTTCCGTCGAGGGTTGTTGCGAGCATTTCCTGACTAAATGTGAAGTTACCCCCGCATCGAATCCGAACCGGGTCTACGCGTTCCCGTATCGCCAGTGGCGTGCCGTCCACCAGTCGTGCGCCGATCTCAGGTAAACATATATCCAGTGGCAGTCTCAGTTTCCATGCTGTGGCTGGCTCCCCCATCTACGAATTTTTTTATTATGTCCGTCCCGATCTTCCCACTAAGTAGTATGGGGCTGTCTACCGTAGTACCCTCCTTATTCGGTCGGGTGTGGTCGATTGCGTGAACCGGCACAATCACTCGGTGAGGGTCGGTTGGGTCGGGCGAGCGGCGTGACCTGTCAGTAGAGGGCCCGCCTGATACTGACTCCCAGCGTTTCCCTGCTGCTTGGTCTGTTTCTGCTGCTCAGCGTTTTCCGGGCATTCGCTCTTGCGGTGTCCCGGCCGATTGCACCGAAGCAGCGCCCTTTAAATGGTGCGGCAGCGGCATTGGCGGCGACGGCACGTATCGTAGCGCCCTCGTTCGTCCCACGAGTCCGATGCCCCCAGTTACTACTGCTTCTGTAGGACCCGGGTCTCGTTCCGCGAAAGAAGTCAAGCTTCTCCGCCATAGCGAGAATCTCTTGAAAGTCGGTGACGCCGCGAAGCTGAATTTCCTGAGCGATGTCGTGCTTCAGGCCGCCGATGTAGCGGTCGATGCGTTCGCTCTCGTGCATGTATCCCACTTGCTCGCATAGCTCCAGAAACCCGCTTGTGTAATCCTGGACGGAACCGAGTTGGCGCCAAGTGCGGAGCTTCTGTCGCGCCGCAATCAAAGCCGCAATTGGCTCAAATCGAGCGTGCAGACCTGCGCACCACGCGTCCCACGTGCGATATTGGGGCACCTCCACGAAATACGACAGCGCACACGGTCTGGTTTGTCCTTTCCGTGTCGGTAGAGTCGCATAGTCCATCGACTTCGTGACGATGACATGCCACCAGTCCATGGAGGGTCCTCGCAGCAGCGACAGGGCGTAGCGAATCTTCGCCGTATCCTCCGAGACGTAGTTGGCATCAAAGAAAACGTTCAACGTGAACAACCACGCCTAAAAGGTAGGACCACCCCGTTGGCTCAGGTCAAAGCATGGCGGACGCTGCGGCTTCAGCGGCATTGGGAGCGGCCGTGTTGATTCGCCGGCCGGCACAGAAATCGTGACGCGAGGTTGACTCCTGGCCGCATTCGTTGCTTCGGGGTGTGTCGTGTCGTGGTCGTCGTCTCCGTCGTGGCGGACGACGCCATCACTGGCCACGCTCGGGGTTTCCCCACCCTTCCGTGCTGCGATGCTTGTGGTGCGGGTTGTACCGGAGTGCCAAATGCTTGTGATTGCGCTTGTTGTGCTCGTGCGACGTCATTCCGCAGGGAAGTGCGTTCCGCCATCAGCGCCGCAATTTCTTCTGAGTTCTCGTGCAGCTCGCACAGCAGTTCATTCAGGCGGTCCTGCGTGAGCGTCGTGACGTCAATGTGTCCAGCCATTACGAAGGGCGTCGGCTCGGCTTAGTCTAGGCGCAGTCGTGGCTGCACGCGTTTACAAGAGAACGCGAGGACAGCGGCTCCTAGGGGCTAAGGTGCGTGAGTCCCTTTGAGTGAAAAAACAAAAGTTGATTTCCTGGGGCGCGAAGATGGGTGGTTCGAAAGAAATTAGCTCTGATACCACGTCTTACAGGTGCAATGAATCGATGTAGCAAGGATTGCACTAATGTGTCAAAATGAGTACAAACCGTGAGCGAAGGCATGAGCGAACATTTGTACGCGAAACATGCAAACGGTAACGCGGTGCGTGCGAGCTAGCTAGTGCTACGCTGGCGCGAGGTCCGGGCTAGTCCCGAAGCGTAGGCCGACTCGGCTGCTCCAGCAGTGCAAGGTTTGGTGAAACAGTGCGCGCGAAGTTGGCGATGTCAAATGTTATATCTGCTACAGTTTGTTTAGGCTGTAGTGGGGTAGATACTATGGGGTACAGTAAGTTTAGGGTTTACTACTTGTATCCAACCCTTTTCCTAGTGCAACCACTTCTCATTCTGACATGGTATTAAGAGCCTAGGTTAGGGACCTAGGACCGCTTACCTAAGGGCCCACCGTTCCGCTAGAGGCGCCCTCGTGCGCCCCACCGTCTTAGCGCCCTCGTGCGCCTCTCTCCTAGTGCGCCCTCGCGCGCCCTCCTCTCACGCTGCTCGTTTGCAGCCCGCTAGCAGCCCGAGCGCGGCTCCACGTTTTTAGCGCGAGCAGCCCACTAGCCGCCTAGGGCGGCCCGATTTTTCTCGCGCGCGCCAGTAGGCCGTCGCCCGTAGGCCCCGCTCGCCCCTAGGCCGACGCTCGACCCGCCGCCGCCCGCCCGCAGGTCGCAGCCCGCGCGCAGCGGCGATCGCGCGTTGGCTGCTACAGCTCGCGCTTAGCCGCCGCACGAACGCAGCCGCGGCCCGCGCGCAGCCGCACCCTAGGCGCCGCCGCGCACCGTGCATAGGCTCGCCGTCGCGCCGCCCTACCTACCCGAGCCGCGCCGCGCCGTCCTGCCTGAGTCGCCCCGCCCTTACCGAGCCGAGCCGCCCCACCTGCAGCAACTGCTGTTCCTGTTCCTGCTGTTACAGCTGTTCTTACTACTACAGCTGCTACTGCTACTGCTCTTACTGCTACTACTGCTACTGCTACTACTGCTACTGCTGCTACTGCCACTATGGCCAGTCCTACCGTTCTAACTTTTGACGCTGAGGGCCGTCCGATTCAGTTTGACGTTTGGCTCGATGACCTGCACGTGTTCCTCCAGATCACTGCCAAAGACGATGTTTCCCTGTTTGACCACACGTCCGGCGCCGCTCCCGCACCTGCAGCTACTGCTGACAGCACTGCTCGCTCACAGTGGCAGACCCGTGACGCTCATGCTCGCCCAGCCGTTCGCAGCCACCTGCCGTTAGATGAGCGCGAGCACTTTGGCCAGCATAAGACCGCTAAGGAGCTGTACGATGCTGTAGTTGCACGCTACTCCTCCCCTGCTACTGCTGCGATAGGCCGTCTCTCACTGCCCTATCTCTTCCCCGATCTGTCTGCCTTTGCCACTGTAGCTGACCTCATCACGCACCTCCGTACTAGTGACCATCGCTACCGTGCCGCGCTTCCCCCCAATTTCCTAGCCAAGAACCCTCCCCCGATGTACCTCACACTCTACCACCTAGTCACCCGCCTCCCTGACTCTCTTCGCACTGTCAGGGACCACTTTCTCGCTCTCTCCCCCACCGACCTCACTGTCGACCTGCTCGAAAAGGAACTCCTAGCAGCTGAGAAGAGCATTGTAGCTGTAGGTGCCTCTCGTGGCGACCCTCGCGCCCCCTTCTTTGAGGGGTGCTCCCCCGTCCCCCTCCTCCCCTCCATTGCATCTGCTGCTGCTGTCGACTACCTCGGTGCTAAGGGGGTCGGGGCTGCGTTTGCTCCTAGTGGGAGGCGCAAGGGCGGCAGGGGCAGGGGTGGCGGAGGTGGCGGCAGGGGCAGCGGTGGTGGAGGGGGTGGAGGGGGCGGGGGTGGTGGCGGTGGTGGGAGTGGTGCTGGTGGTGGGGGGGTCAGTGGCGGAGCCGGGGGTGGTGGCGGCGGCGGTGGTGGGGGTGGCGGGGGTGGTGGTGGCAGTGGTGGCGGCAGTGGAGCTGGTGGTGGGCGCGGTGGAGCGGTGCAGCGTGGGGGGTTCGGCGGTGGCCAGAGGAAGCAGCACCAGCGTCCCAGCGAGACCCCGTCGCCCCAGCAGCTCCGTGAGTGGTACTCTCAGCGTGGGAGGTCTGGGGGTGGAGGTACCTGCCCGTACGTCATCCGCACAGGTGACCGCACTGGCCAGACCTGTGGGAGGTTTCACACGGCGCAGCGCTGCTTCTTTCGTCTCGACGACGCCTGGCGCGAGCAGTTCCCTGACGCCTCTGAGCTGCCCCGCTGGGCTGATCTGCTTAAAAAGAACATTGATATCTTTGCTCTTGATTCTGATGCTATCCTTGGTGCTACGTATGCATTGACTATTAGTGTTGAGGGTGACTGCTACCTGAGTGTACTGCCCGACCCGGGTATTGGGACTAGTGAGACTACCGCTCTAGGTGCTAGTGCGTCTGCTGCCCTAGGTCTTGGTGAGGCTGCTGCTCTAGGTGCTAGTGCGTCTACTGCTCCAGGTGCTCGTGCGTCTGCGCCTGCTGGTACTGCGTCTACTGAGGCACTGCACACCTTCACACTGGACTCGGGTGCTTCCCGCTGCTTCTTTTGTGACCGCACTGTCCTTGATCAGCTAGCTCGGCCTGTTGCTGTCTCCCTCGCTGACCCCTCTGGGGGCCCGGTCCTTGCGACCTCCTCCACTGTCCTCCCTTGTCCTGCGGTTCCGGCCGGCACCCTGTCGGGTCTTCACCTCCCCTCGTTCTCTACGAACTTGGTTGCGGGCTCTGCTCTCCAGGACGGGGGTGTTCACCAGTTCACCCCTGCCTATGAGCGTGTGACCCACTGTACGTGTGCTCGGACGGGTCGCCACCTGGCTACCTTCACTCGGCAGTCGGGGTCGGACCTGTACACACTAACCACTGAGTCCCCTCAGGTAGCTGTGTCTGTGTCTGCGTCAGGTCAGCTGTCGGCCCTTTACTCGTGTCGCACCCTGTCGCACCAGACCGTCCTCTGGCACCACCGCCTTGGTCACCCTTCAGTTCAGCGCCTTCGTGGCATGCACTCCCGGTACCTTGTCTCTGGTCTTCCCAGGGTTCTCCCTCCTCTCCCACCCTCGCCTGCTCCTCCCAGTCTTCCCTGTGTCGACGGGCGGCAGCGCGCCACTCCTCACTCCTCCTCGTTCCCTCCCACAGAGGCTCCCCTGCAGACTCTCCACCTGGACGTGTGGGGCCCAGCCCGCGTCCGTGGACAGGGCCACGAGCAGTACTTCCTGCTGGTCGTCGACGACTACACGCGCTACACCACAGTCTTCCCCTTGCGCACCAAGGGTGAGGTCCCTGATGTTTTGATCCCTTGGATCCGCGCTGCTCGTCTCCAACTCCGCGAGCGGTTCCAGTCGGACTTTCCCGTCCTGCGTCTGCACTCTGACAGGGATTGTGAGTTTTCCTCCGACCTCTTGGCAGCCTACTGTGCGGAGCATGGCATCCGCCAGACGTTCACACTTCCGGCCTCTCCACAGCAGAATGGGGTTGCTGAGCGCCGCATTGGCTTAGTCATGGAGGTCGCTCGTACCTCCATGATCCATGCGGATGCCCCCCATTTCCTGTGGCCGTTTGCAGTGCAGTACGCTGTGCATCAGCTCAACCTCTGGCCTCGTGTCTCTGCTCCGGAGACCTCGCCCACACTGCATTGGACGGGGGAGGTTGGCGATGCGTCGGTGTTCCGAGTCTGGGGATGTCGAGCCTTTGTCCGCGATACGTCCGCGGACAAGCTCTCCCCCCGTACCGTTCCTTGTGTCTATCTTGGCTTTGTCCCTAACGCGCCTGGCTGGCAGTTTTACCACCCCACCTCGCGCCGTGTCTTCCCCTCTCAGGACGTCACTTTTGACGAGTCAGTACCCTTTTACCGTCTGTTCCCCTACCGCACTGCGCCGCTCCCCCCCCCCGCCGCTCTTCCTCATGCCAGGTGCTGCTTCGGTAGACCCCCTCCCTCCCCAAAGTCCTGCTCCCTCAGGTGTTTCCCAGGTAGACCCGGTCGAGCCTGTCGAGGTAGCAGTCGACTCTGGTCCTGCGATGGGTACTGCGTCTGGGGGTGCTGAGACTGGGGGTGCTGAGCTTGGGGGTGCTGAGACTGTTAGAATCTGGAATAGAACGAGAATGGATGAAACTAGGTAGGAGGGGGATACAAGTAGGAAACCCTAACAAAGCTGTACCCCCTAAGGCTAAACCCACTATAGCCTACACAATATAAACATATAATGTTTGACAGAGACTGGGGGTGCTGTGTCTGGGGGTGCTGAGACTAGGGGTGCTGAGCCTGGGGGTGCTGAGGCTAGGGGTGCTGAGCCTGGGGGTGCTGAGCCTTGGGGTGCTGAGCCTGGGGGAGCTGAGACTGACTGTTCTGCGCCTAGTGACGCTCCCTCTTCACAGCAGCTGCGTGAGTGGTACTCTCAGCGTTACAGCCTCCAGCGTGGGGCTGCTGGAGCTGGGGGTTCTGCCAGAGTTGGAGCTGGTGGTGCTGCGGGTGCTCTGTCGCGGCCGGCGCCTCCCTCCCCACAGCGGCTGCGTGAGTGGTACGCTCGGCGCTGCAGCCTCCGGAGCGGCGCTCCTAGCACTGGGGTGCCGCCCGCTGAAGGCCCTGGTGCGGCTGGAGGTACTGGAGCCTCTGGTCCTGGAGGTGCTCGTACAGGTGGTACTAGAACTGCTGGGACAGGGGGTTCTGCTGGAGCTGGAGCTGCTGGAGCTGGTGCTACTAGAGGTGCTGCTGGTGCTGGAGCTGCTGGAGGTGCTACTGGTGCTGGAGTTGGAGCTGGAGGTGCTGGAGCTGCTGGAGCTGCTGGTGGAGCTGAGGACGCTGGGCCTACTGGAGTTGGTGTAGCTGCTGACCCTGGGGTTGGTCCTGCAGGGGCTGGAGCTGGAGGTGCTGACGCTCGTCCTCCTGCAGGTGCTGGAGCCGACGGTGCGGCTGGAGCTGGTGCTACTGGGGGTATTGGAGTTGGAACTACTGGAGCTGCTGGTGGTGCTATAGGAGTTGGAGCTGCTGCTGGGGGTTCTGGTGCTGTCTCTGCTGGTTCTGGGGCCGCTTCACGGCCGCGGCCGTACTTCGTTCCGCTCCTTCAGCAGGTTCTTGGTCAGCCGCCTCCTCCTTGTCCTGCTCCCTCCTTAGAGTGTCCTCCGCCGGTCCAGTCGCACTCACAGTTACAGCCTGCCTCGCCACTCCCTGGTCCTTCTCCCTACACTGGTCAGGCAGGAGGTCTTACGGAGCGTCATGAGCCTGAGTCTCGTCCTGTGTCGCCTGAGTCTCGTTCTGCGTCACCTGTTCGTGCTACTCGCACTGGTCGTTGTGTCCCGCGTCAACGTCCTCCTACTGACCCAGGCACTCACCAGATGACGCTTCGTCCTTCCACCGCTCCACAGCATGTCCCTCTGCCTTCTCCTCCTGCGTCCTTCCTCCCTGCCCTTGCTGACCCGGAGTCTGACTCTCTTCGTGCTGCTAGTCCTACTGTCACTCGTCTCCTGGCCACGGCTGTCACTGACCCTTCTTTTGAGTCAGCTGCTGCGTCTGCCTTAGTTGCTGAGCTTGTCGACTATGCTGCTCGCTGTCGTCTAGACTACGCCGCGAGTCTTGTTGCTGAGTCTGAGTCTGTCAGTCCTCCGTCCGTCGGGGTTGAGTATGCTCTTGGCACGGACGTCCTTGAGGACAGGCAGGAGGAGTTTGAGTGCTTTGCCGCTGCTGTACCTCATCTCGTGTCCATGCTGATTGCACCTGAGGGAGACCCGGATGCACCAGACATCCCGACCCCACGCTCTTACGCTGAGGCGATTGCGCGTGAGTACTCCTCTCAGTGGCAGTCAGCCATGGACGCAGAGATGGCATCCTGGAAGTCCACAGGCACCTACGTCGACAAGGTTCCCCCTCCTGGGGCGAACATCGTCAGTGGCATGTGGATTTTCAGGGTGAAGCGGCCGCCAGGTTCTCCGCTTGTCTTCAAGGCTCGTTACGTTGCTCAAGGCTTCAGTCAGCGAGAGGGAGTAGACTTCTTCTAGACCTTCTCCCCCACCCCAAAGATGACCACTCTTCGGGTACTACTGCACGTTGCCGCTCAGTGTGACTACGAGCTTCACTCTCTTGACTTCAGCACAGCTTTTTTGCAGGGCAGCCTACACGAGGAGATCTGGCTGCGCCGCCCTCCTGGCTTCACTGGGTCGTTTCCTCCTGGTACCCAGTGGAGCCTCCGGCGGCCGGTCTACGGTCTCCGCCAGGCACCACGTGAGTGGCACAACACACTGAGGACTACACTTGCGGCTCTTGGGTTCGCGCCTTATACTGCTGACCCGTCGCTGTTTCTGCGCACCGACACTTCGCTGCCGCCGTTCTACATCCCCGTGTACGTCGACGACTTGATCTTTGCCACTGCTGACACTGAGGCTCTCGCCCTTGTGAAGTCGAAGCTGCAGAAGAGACACACGTGCACAGACTTGGGTGAGCTGCGCAGTTACCTTGGCTTGCAGATCACCCAGGACAGAGCACGCCGCACCATCACACTGACTCAGTCACACATGGTGCAGCAGGTCCTTCAGCGCTTCGGCTTCACCTGGTCCTCGGCACAGGCCACTCCTCTGGCTACAGGTCACTCGCTCTCAGCTCCACCTTCGGACGAGTCCGTAGAGCTGAGTGGTCATTACCCACAGCTAGTTGGCTGCCTCATGTACCTGATGACTTGCACTCGTCCTGACCTCGCGTACCCTCTTGGCCTTCTGGCTCGCTACGTGGCTCCTGGTCGGCACCGAAAGGTGCACATGGATGCTGCTAAGAGGGTACTACGCTACTTGTGCAGTACATCAGGCATGGGGCTCGTGCTTGGAGGGAGGAGCTCAGTTGTTCTCACTGGGCACTCAGACGCTTCTTGGGTTGACGACCAGGCTACTCAGCGGTCGTCAGAGGGTTACACCTTCAGCCTTGGCTCTGGTTCAGTTTCTTGGCGTTCTACACGTTCGTCTTCAGTTCTCAGCTCCAGTTGTGAGGCTGAGATCTACGCCACAGCCATGGCTGCACAGGAGTTACGCTAGCTCACCTACCTGCTGACCGACTTGGGAGAGCGGCCTCGTTCTCCTCCAGTGCTGTACGTCGACAACAAGGCTGCCATTGCCTTGTGTGAGGAGCACAGACTGGAGCCAGAACGAAGCACATCGCTCTGCGTTACTTCCTGGCTCGAGAGTTGCAGCAGCGTGGTCAGCTTCGTCTGCGTTACGTGGCCACTCAGGCCAACACTGCTGATATATTCACCAAGGCACTTCAGTCTCGTGATCATCAGCGTTTCTGCACTATGCTAGGTCTTGTGCCCACTTTTCCTCACCTGCTGTAGACTTCGCTTGTACTGTGATCTATATATATATATATACCTGCATGCTTGCTTTGCTAGATAGAGATCACTGTGATGCTTGTGTTACATATATGCCTCTGCATGTGAACTGGCCTTGTGGCCCCTTGCTTGTGCTCAGTGAGTGTGGTGACGTTGTGATCCACCCTGAGCTTGCTTTGCCTTTCTTGACTGGTCTTGTGACCCCTTGCTCTCCCCCACTTTGCCTATGGGGGTGTGTCAAATGTTATATCTGCTACAGTTTGTTTAGGCTGTAGTGGGGTAGATACTATGGGGTACAGTAAGTTTAGGGTTTACTTCTTGTACCCAACCCTTTTCCTAGTGCAACCACTTCTCATTCTGACAGGCGAAGCCCCGGTAACAGTAACGGGCAAACATCGGCTGCTGCCGTATGCGATGTTGCGGGTCGCGGTAAGGAATGTTGAGAAAATTCCTTACATTATCTTGTTCGAGTAACACACTGGTAACAGCTTTTATATATATACATATTTTTGGTAATGCGAGTTACACTATAATAGCGCATACAAGCATTAAGAGTCGTAACTATAGCTGATGGGCCTAGACAGCACCGTGCCATCGTACCCATCCTGACAACTTATGGGGGGCGGAAAATCGTGCGTGGATTGGCCCAGATGGAGGTGAAACCACTGGTCCACGTAAGCGATTTTGCCGAGCTGTTACATATTCTGCTTACAAGTCGAAATTCGTCTAGATCCAACCGCTCCAGGATGGAACGTTGCCCCGGCCCAAGCATGTCTCTTGCCCGCTTACTTCCTTTTTTCGCCCGAAGATAGATTCTCGTATGGGTGTAAAAAGCAGCTGCAATCTTCCGCAGCACCCTCCTGGACCGAAGGCGCCCTCTCTCAAAAGCCGCGTCACACCTTTCCACCCATATCTTGTGTAGGGCGATGGCCGTGACTCTCGATTATGGGAAGCCCGAGGTCGAGCCTTCCTTCTCAAAAAGCAGGTCACCGAGTGAAGTGATTTTCCTGCCCCGGTTGATCATGCGGAGAGCCTTCAGCAGCTCTTGCACCACTGGTTGAATACGAGGGCAGCCGAACAAGCAGGACTCCGCTGTCTCTTCCTCTCCACAGTACGGACACGCCACCTCCTCCAGGAACTTCAGCCTCACCCCAACCTGGAGATTACGACAATGCAGGCGAAGCAGGACGTCACGGGCTCGGTTCGGAAGCACCGCGGAATCCCGCACCCTGATGACTCTTTTCCAATCAATCACTTTCCCCCACTCTTCCGACCATTTTTCCTGCTGCTGCATCACTCCCTGCTGCGCGCCGAAGAGCAACCTCAGCTGCCTGAAGGGAGGGATCCGATCATCCATGCAGAGTTCCGAGCAGCGCAGCCGTACCTCGGGTAGGCCTCCTACTCCAATCACCCTTCCGCCCCTCACCATCAACGGCTCCGCCTTGTCTAGGGCAAAAACCGCAGTTGACACCGCCGCCACCAAAGCAGTCACATGCGCGGCAGGCAAGTCCCTCTTGCACCACCCTCTCTGCTTTCCAAGCTCCCACCATGCCCACCTTCTTTACGAAAGCCGACTCCGCCAGGAGTTCCTCTCCCGTGATCGCCGCTACCAATTTCTCCTTCCAGGAGGCAGGGACGCTACCGAAAACCTTGAGCGCCCTCATCGCTTTCTTGCGCGTGCCTAGCTCTTTTGTTAGCAGCTTCTCGTCCTTGAAGAAAAAAGCACCGTCCTCTATTTGACCAACGAAATCACCTAGTTTCAACAACTCCAGCCCTTTTGCAGCCTCCTGCCATCCAAGCAGCTTCTTCCCGTTTGGCAGGACCTGCCGATTAAACACCAGCGGCTCCTGCGCGATGTCCCTGTGCGAAATCGGGCCCTTCTTTGCGATGCTTGACCGCATGAACATCTCGCAAGTCTGCTTCCATCTGACGCTCCTACCCTTCCATGCTTTCAGGAACTCCAGATGCGCCCAGAAAGAGCGGAAGCCAGCAAGAAGGTCGGCCGCCTTTGTTGCCAGTCAACTGCGAACACCGCTCCTGGCCAACACTACCTTCCCCAGGCCAGGCCGCTGAGCTCTACGAAAGGGTCGCGTACCCCCAGCCCGCCGTCCTTCCGCGGCCTGAAGATCAGCTCTCGACTCCAGAGTGTGAAATGGCGCCCCACCGACGCCCTATTGCCGGAGATGAAGTTGACAAGCAGCTTCATGATCCGCTTCCATATGCTCTCTGACGAGGGTTAGACCTGATCTTGAAATGCTAAGATCGGGCACACGTAAGCATTGACAACCGCCACCCTCGTCGTTGTGGTTAAGTGGTGCGACTGCCATTTCACCAGCTCCTCCGCCGCTCTGGCCAGCGCCTTGTCCCAGGTAACCTCTGACCTTCCAGACGGGGAGACCCATACGCCCAGAAGTCTTTCCGCATCCTTTGCGTTCACCCACGCGAAGGCTGACCCCTCGTTTCTTTCTTCTTTCAGGTTAGCCCCCAGCGGGAGCAGCGCCGATTTATCCTTGTTGACTTGAAGGCCAGAGCGAGCACCGAACTCCTCCGCCCGTTTGATTTGCCTCTTTCCCTTCAACACAATCGTCGTGTCATCAGCATAGCCGAGGTAGGCCAATCTGTCGCCGTGGTCATCGCAAATCCCTAACCTCCTACGCTTTGCCTCTTGGCAGAGCGGCTCCACCGCACACAAGAAGAGGTAGGGAGCCAGAGGACATCCCTGCAGAACTCCCTTGCGAACATCAACTCGGTCTCCTAGCCAACCATTCACCAGAAGTCGGGTGAAGGAGCCGTCGTGCAGAACTTCGCACCATCGGATGAATTTACTCGGGAATCCCATCAGCGTCATCGTGTCAAAAAGGAACGTCCACGACACAGAGTCGAACGCCTTCTGAAAATCGATTATCAACAAGTACGTCTCCCCTGTCATTGCTCGCAGCCTCTATCACGTCAGCAACTGTCGACACGGCATTTGAAAGTCGTTTGCCTGGTAAAAAACCATGTTGTTCTTCTGAAATGATCGTGCCCAGCACCCGCTTCATGCGATTGGCCAGCAGCTTGGCGACCACCTTGTAGCAACTCGTCAGCAGAGTGTTCAGACGGTAATTCTGCACCTGCTCTTTCGGGCCCTTTTTGTGCAGCAGGATGGTCACCGCCTCCTGCACTTCATCTGGAAAGACTGCCGAGGATTCGAACGGTTTGATAAAATCCATGAAGTCCTCCCTCAGCAGGTCCCAGTAGCGCTCGAAAAGTTCCTTCGGCAAACAGTCGCCGCCTGGAGACTTGTCGCACGCCATCTTTTTTAATGCTTTCCTTACTTCCTCCTCTGACCAGTCTGCTTCCATATCTGTTTTCTCTTGCTCCCGCAGCGTTTTCAGTGAGTCCGGTTTCCAGCAGGGCAGGCCCGACGGAGGGGCTTCCGCAAACAACTTAGTGTAGACGCGGGAGGCGGCCTCCAGAATACCTCTCGTACCCCTTTGCTCCACCCCTTGCGAGGCCAGAGCGGTGATCATCGTTCGCGTCTTCTTTGACTTTAGTTTTGTGGAGAGGACCCCCGACGCAATCTCACCCTTCGTTTCCTCCTTCATCCCCGCCAAGAGGTGCAGCCTGTCATTCTCCCCTTTCAGATATGCCGCCAGCTTCGACTCTTTCTCCTCCAAGGTCACACGAATGTCGTCTTGCTGGGGACTCCTCATCGGCTCCTGCTGCAGCCCGGAGACCGCTAGCTCCAAGTGCCTCAAAGTCGCGCGAATTCGTTTCCGCTCTTCCGCCGCATACCGCCTTAGCGCAACCTTGAGTTTGATGAGAAGGGTACCAAAAGTACCCGAGACTCTTGCATGATGCCTTTCCGTGACTGCTCTAATCACCTTTTCTACCCCTGGTTTCACCGTGTCTGCAGATGGCAGCCGCCAGATGCCTGGGCCCATGTGTAGCCCCAGGCTCGCTTGCAGCACCACCTTAATGCCACACTTGTGATCTGAAATGCTGCCCAGCGATCGGGTGTGAGACGCCTCGACCACCGAAGGTAGCAGCTCAGCCGACACCAGAATACGGTCAATCCTTGAGCTTGACTTCGTCGCCTTCACGTAGAAGGTGAACTCGCGGCCGCTCGGGTTGAGCGTCCGAAACACGTCCACCATGTGAAGGCCGCTGAATGGTTGCAACATCTTGACATTCTCTCCGGACGACCCCCCCCCCCCCCCGGAGACTTGTCGAGTGTTGGGTCCTCCACAACATTGAGGTCCCCAGCCAGCAGCAGCTTACCCCTGCAGTTCAACCTTGTCAAGAAGGGGCCCAGCACATCTCTGAAGAAGGCAACTCTGCTGCACGCGCTTGCTGGGAAGTACGCCGCCAGCCAAAGGTATCCCATCTTAATTCTGCATGAATGAGCCTCCCTGAGGCATGGACCGTGACGTTTTCAAAGACTAACTGCTTGTTGTTGCTGACAATCGCCACCCCACCGGCTCTTTCCACGTTTGCCACCGCCAGGCAGTGGTGAAACTTCAACCGCTTCCAGCATTCGTGATCAGGAGCAACCCTTGTGTCTGTGAGAACGTATACGTCCGCTTCCTTTCTTGTCCACTTTTTTAGGTTCCGTTGCTTGCCTCTACTCCCGAGCCCATTGACGTTGAGCTCGCACACCGACACTTGCAGGCTTTATCCATTAATCAACCAGGTAAGAGCCCCATAGCATCCACGGGCTTAAGAAAGGTAGCTGAAAGAGAACAAGTTACTGCTATATAGCATTTCATACATCACATGTGAGCACCGTACTAACAGGCATCCATCTCCCTCTCTCCGTCTTGCAGAGACAATCCTTAAATCCCATACTCCTTGCGCAGCACACGGAGGTTCAGCTTGTCCTTGAGGACGCGCGTCGCAGCTCCCTGCTTCGCTAGCCCACCCCGATGGCGCTGGGAAAGCGTGTGGTGAGCAGCCTGCTCGAAAGAAGATCCCTTTGCCTTCTCGCAGCATTCCAGCAGACAAACCCATTCCTCCCTGTTGCCCGCCGTTGAAACCAGCACCAACGCGGGGTCCTTGAGGATGATCCTGGTTGCCGTTGTGGCTACAGTCGCAGTCGCTGCACGGATGGGAGGTACGCAGCTGGATATTTGCGACCGCCAAGAAAAGGAAAGCGACAACGACGTGAGCAGCATGATCAGGTAAGCGGGAAACACCATCTCTACCGTTGAGCTCCTGGATCCTCCCCACTGTGAGGTTCCATTTGGAGATGTTGTTTTGCTGTTCCGTGATGAAGTCGTTGTGATTATGCACCGATTGCATTCCCCCGCAGAGCGAACACTTCAGAGCCGGGTAATGCACCATGACCTTCGCTCCAAGTGAGATTGGGTTCTCGAACTGATGGAGCCACCGAAACTGGTCATTCTCGTGAGCGACGACCAGCCCCTTCACCCGGTCAGTATCCAGCCCCGAAAGAGGATGCACCACGCGATGGAAATGGAAGCCCTCCTTGAAGGCCGGATGCTTGCAGATCTTCAACGGAGAGATAGCGAGCGCTTTATTTAGGATCTCCGGGGAAATTTCCGCAGCAACACCAAGGAACAGCACCTCGATAACCGCCAGGTCAGTGATCTTCCTCCTTGTGTAACTTGGATCCTCCAGGTAGAGCCAATCAAAGAAGATGTATTTTCCATCCACGCACTGATGCTCAATACGGTTGCGCCAGACAAAGTTTGCATCAGAGGCAGCGACGGAAATGACTTGCATGCGACCGTAAAACTTTTTCGCAATATATACCGGATCCAGTTCCTGGAATGTCGTCTTAACCGCGTGCTCTGTGAGATCATTCTCCCACATCCCCAGCAGTTCTTTGACTGTCGCCTGCGTACGACGAACCTCCTGCAGATGGTCGCTTGGGATCGGCAGGGTGAGCGGGAAACGAAGCTTCGCCGCCAAGTCCTCTTTCGCTTTGTCCTCGAAACATTCCTTCGGATCATACGCCAGAAGCCAGTCATCCTCATCATCAAGGAAACTGACACGACGAGCAGCACCAGGTACGTCATGCTCTTCATCACCAGCAGCATCTTCTTCCGCGTCGGAGACATCGTCCTTAAAACCCGCGTCCTTCACTTTGCCATTATCCGTCTTCCCACCAGCAGCTTGCTCGATCCGGAGAGCCGCCAGCTTAGCAGACAGCGTCAGCGACTCCGAGTCATCTTCCGCGAACAGAGTGCATGGCGACTTCGACGGAACAGCGGTAGTCGTCGTTGGACGAGTTGACGGACCAGCAGCAGGTGACTTCAGCGTAGCAGCAGCAGTAGCAGCAAAATCCATCTTATTAGCTAGCTTAACATGGCGTGATGATGAAAGAGCCACCAGAACCAGCGGAGTACTGGAGGAATAAACTCTCTGAGCGCCTTAAACGTTTACCAGTCCTTTTAAGATGTACCATCATGCGGTCTAATGCATATATTTTTTCATCTATATCTTCCAACAATAAAATATTCCCTCGAGCATCTAAATCACTTTGAGTACCAATACTGGTACAAATCATCATTAAATTTCCTCCTACAATGGGCGCTTGTGCAGTTCCTAATCTATTTAGTTCATCCACTTTAGCGGTAATCTCGACTGGCTGGCCGAAAAGTAAAGCTTTAAGACTCTCCAAAGAACTTTTATACTGTTGCCAAGGGAAATGGCATAGCATTTCTCCATGGATAGATATAATACCAAGCTGGTGTAACTTAAGATGTATAGTAGTCAGGTCGCTAAAACCAATAAACCATTCGGGAAACTTGATAGTCATATCTTGGGAAGTGTATACTTGACGGAAGCGCCTTGCCAAAGTTGTTGATAACAATAAAACCTTGGTAACCGCACGCTGACTCAGCAGCAAGGACAGTACCTAGGAGATCAACATAGATGTTAGGCGCTTGAACCAAACAAGAGAAGGCCTTAGGGAACGTCAATGCAATGTCCGCTGTATGGACATAAAAAATATATCGGCGTGTTCCCTGAGATAAGGCGAGTCTCGATAGCTGATTATTAGCGATTGTAACACCCTGGAGCACCGACATTGGTAGCTCCGAAGTTCCAAATGGCAGCCATGGCGGTCTCAGGCGGGGAGTCATTGTCATTGATAGAATAGTGTGCATTCAATGGTTTACAGAGATTCACCGTTTTGAAATGCTGCTCACCCGGCTACTTGAATTTGTAAAAAACAGGTTTGCTTTCAGCGGGGATGAGTGTTCGTTATCAGTACATTGCAACGCTTAGGTAACATCTATTTGTTATTCCGCTAACTTTCTCAAATCAGACCTACCCCCGACTTCTCAACTCAGACCTACTCCCGACTGCAGAATTCGCAAGAGCACTGTAGCGCCTCGTCAGGACGGAGTTTGGCAGGCAGGAAAGTGTGGGGTTTGTGTGGGCCTTGGCTGAAATGCAACAGCAACCCTAAAAAAGATATGGAAGAGAGGTGAGACGAGGGCTATGAGTGACACCTCCCCTTGACAAGACTTCACTAAGAACAGCAAGACCCACATTCCACTTCAAAGAATTTCCTGTAAAAACATCGTCTGGTACACGCTATTGCATGCCTCATCACGGTCCGCCTATGTGAAACCTTGATTGCCGGCATCGTAGGCTTGCACGCGATCCCACTAGTGCACGTGGCTCGCATGTCGTTAATCGCGGCGCGAAGAAATACACGGCATCGTTGGAGAGGAGTTCGCGAGCTAGCGCGCCGTACGGCGAACCAGAGGCCGAGGAGAGGATGGCCTTCGTAAATCCACGTTGTAGACCTCGTCAACATACTCAGGTTGGGAAACGCGCGGCAAAACAGACACGTTTTTGGCGTCAAAGCATGCTGTTGCCGTCATGGCGAAAAAGACAGGGTTGCGCAACCGTTGCGAACCCGAATGCGCACCTCCCTTGTCTCTGCTGGCATTGGGACGGTTCGAAAAGAGGGTGGCCTGAATAGCAGCGTGTCAGCATATGTCGCAGCGTGTTTTCGTGGCACCATTCCTTTTTGCCCTCCATACATCCTTCTGTTTCATTGCTTTGACTTCGCGCTAGCTCTAGTCACCTCGGAAGGAGTCGCAGCAGGACTTCCCCCTCGTCCCTCTCTCCGCCCTTCTCCCCCCTCTTCCCCCTCTCCCCCCCCTTCTCCCCCCTCTCCCCCCTCTTCCCCCACGTCCCTTCTCTTCCCCCGCTTCCCCTTCTTCCCCGCCCCCCCCCCTCCCCGCCCTCCTCCTCTCCCCTCAGGGTGTCATAGGCCCATGGTTATGCGCATGCCGTTTCTCCTGCCAGTGCCGTGTGTCTCACCGCACCTCACCTGTCCTCTCGGTCGAACGTCACGTGCGCGCTTCTCCTATCCCGTGCAGCCGCCCACACACACGCGCTCGCCTCGCAGGCACCCGCAAGCATCTGACCGCCTCAGCGGCGATGCGTGCTGGGAGCAGCGCTGTGTGGACGCGTGTCATGCAGTGGTGCCCTGGCAGGCATGCATGCACGGCAAAGGCGCGGCCTTGGAGTCACTGAGATTCTCCCCCTCTGTGTTTCGCTCTCTGAGATTGGCTCTGAGATTCAATTCAACCCCCCCAATGTGCCCCCATGTGTTTGGCCCCCATGTGCCCTTATGTGCCCGCAAGTGCCCCCATGTGCTCCCATCCCATGTGCCCCCATGCGTCCTTGGGATGTGCCCCCCTGTGCCACCCCGCCTCCCCTCTATGGTTCCGCCACTCTGCTTTGGCTAGTTGACCGAGGACTGTCGTTCTGAAATTCATTTCCCCCCACCCCCCCACCCCCCCTGTGCCCCCCTGTGCCCCCCTGTGCCCCCCCTGTGCCCCCCTGTGCCCCCTTGTGCTCTCCCGCGGTGCAGGGAGCAGCCCCTGCGCACGGCATGTGCCGTGTGCTGCATCCCACATGGAGGCGTCGCTGTGTGCTGCTGCTGCCGCTGCTGGCAGTGCTGTGTGCGTGCGGGGGCGTGTCCGCCCAGTGGATACAGGAATCCCAGAGTACGTTCATGCGTGCTGCCACTGCCGCCGCCCTGCCTATCGCTGCTGTTCACACTCGCTCTGAGAGCTAGCTTTTCTTGTCGTGGGCAAAATGGGGAACTCAGTTGGGCGCAATCTCACTGCTCCTCTACGTTCAAAGTTGTTTGAGATACTGTAACACTTTTCCCTGTGTGGCTGCAACAGTGCTAGTGTCATAAATTTCCCTGTCACATTCTCCTCTCCTCGCATTGTTGTTTTCCGTCTCACAATTGACGTCTCATGTCCGGACCGGATGCGAGACTAATTGTTCTTTGAAAAATTTCCACACTTAACTCCTCTCTTTGGACTCGACTCGTTCTGATTTGTTTGTTTGTTTGTTTGTTTGTTTTGAAAATATAATTGTGCCCGTTTTCCTGGCTGGTCCCTTGCATGGCCGTTATCATTCGCCATTCCTCCCTTCTCTTCCCCCGCCCCCTGATCCCACACTCACTGTCTCTCTCGCTCCATTCAATCTCTCGCTACCCTCTGGCCTCACTCACATGCAGAGGCGGTGCTGAAGGCTCTGCTGGACGAGTGGGGCACGTTCCCTCTCAGCAACTCGTGGGTCACGGGCACCGTGTGCTCACAGATGCCGGGCATCGCATGCACCTCCGATGGGCTCATCACCAAACTGTGAGCCATCTCTCACCACACACGCACCTGCTGCTGTAGTCTGTCTCCCACGCTGCAGGGGTGCAGGCAGAGGCAGGGCTTTGTGCAGCGGACCTGGATACGCACGCATGGAGTGGCAGGAGTTGGATTCCTTCACACAGGGCATGTGCGTGCTCCAGCCGAGATAGCACTGGCCCCAGCAGTGACAGCACAGTCTGCCACATGCAGTGATGGATGGTACAACAAGGCCGTGTAGGAGCCTTGAAGTCAAGGAGCCGGCCCTGGCTTGCTGTCGAGTTATGCCGAGCTGTGATTGCCACGCGGCTGCCCACGAGCTGGCTGCAAGCTGGCTGGAGATGAGCTGGGGTAGCATAACTGTCTGTCCCTTGGTCCGCCAACTACAGGAGCCGGGTTGGTCGAACCGTGGTGCAGCTTGGGCACTTGCTCACGTCTAGTACCACCCTGCTTGATCATGCTGGTAATACCTCTGCCTGGGTGTGCATCCCTCCCACTCAGGCCTCACCCCCCCCTTGTCGCAAACCTCTTTCCGTATTGTCATGCCTGTGGTGCCATCAGGCAACTCGTCTACGTGCCGCTGGGGAAGTCCATCCCCGATGCGCTCAGCGGCCTGCAGTCCCTCCAGTACCTGTGAGACCACTCACGTGCTCATTCCCTCACTGAACCCCTGCATTTTTTCATTGCCCTGTGCCTCTTGGTTCGCATTCCCATCCCAGATTTTCTCCCACCGCACCGCACACCCGTTTCCCTCTTACTCTGCGCCTGTGCCTGCCCGTGCCCGTGACCATGCCTGTGGTGATTGGTGGATGCGACGTTCACGATACAGTGTTATGGTTGGATGCCAGTTGACGGGTTCGCTGCCCTCCGCCCTCTTCACGTTGCAAAGCCTCACATATATGTAAGATTGGCACCACTGGTCATCTTACGTGCTACGGTGCTGTGCTGTGCAGTAGGGCTGTTTTGATCTGAACGAGGCTCGAGCAGTGAGGCACAGGACCAATGACGGGCCTTGGTGGAACCAGTTGAGAGGTTTATGGTCCGGAACCAATGACGGCCATCCCTCATACTTGGTGGAATAGACATCCGGATGGGGGTAACTTGTTAGACTGGGCAATTGAGTCGAGTCGGCTATCTCACTCTTGAAAGGTCCGTATACTGATATGGTTCATGTTAGGCATGAGCAGCCGGCCCGACCCGACCCGACCAGACCCGACTTGGCCAGGCCGGGCGGGTTTTTGGGTTGGGTCGGGTCGGGACAGCCCCGGGCCAGGATGTTGGAGACCCTGACCCGACCTGGGGGTACAGGGCCGGGTTTTACCTGACCCAACCTCGGGCCAGCCCGACCCGAGGTCGGGTCGGGTAGAGGATACCTGCTTTTGCTCGCACTCTGCGCAAATCGGCGATCTCGTTGGCGTAACTGTGCAAATCGTCAAATTCGTGGAGATTGGTTCTGTCTCTCCTTCCGCTGGGCCAACGTGGCTGCTCAAGACGCGAAGCCCCTTCAAACCAGACACAATAATTAGAAGGGAGAGGCACCCGTGCCCTTATATACCTATAAAGCAGGGCTGGAAGAGGCTGGGATGGAGGGTAGAGGCTGAAAGGGAAGATTTCCTTTCTCTCTCTTGCTCTCTCACGAGCGCCAAGGATATGGTTTCAGACACATGAATGTGTTCACTAAATTGTTGAAGTACCTCTGACTGTGTTGTACTACTCACTGAATTTGCGACTACACATGAATGATGACCTCCATAAGTGCTGGGTCCAAAGATCAAAATAAGAAAGCAAAATCGAGGTCCTGACTTCCAGTGAACTTGTCTACTGTAGGTAATAGCCCTAGGAGGAGGAGCCTTAGCAGGTTGAACAGGTCTGAGTCTCAAATTGTGTAGGCATTTTTTTCTGTTAGGAAATTTGGTTGAAAACATCCATTTCACCTCAACCTTAGAATTGACCTGGCCTGCCCGGTCCAATCGACTCGGGCCGACTTGGGCCGACAGCCCCAAAGCGTCGTCGGCCCTGCGTCCAATAAGGCTCGGGTCAGAAGTGAGTTGCGAGTCATAAGACTCGACTTGAGTCACCACTGACTAGAGGCCTAGCGTGGAGTCTCGAGTCCGGGGCAGCTATTTCAACTTGACTCGACTCGACTTGACTCAACTCGACTCGACTTATTGTCATGTATAGAACCAGTTTCACCTGTTGTGATAATCAGAAAATTTACCAGCAGGTTAAAAAAAATGTGATATTGTCAGCTACGATCACTATATTGCACAATAGCCGTTGGTATGTCTCGCTGATGTGCGATGCCCTGTTTTGGAAGAATCAACTCAATTGTGTGCGTCCTCTCCTCTTGCTGCAGGGACCTTGCTAGCAACAGCCTGTCTGGCTCTATCCCTGCTGACATCAGCAAGCTCAGTTTCTTGCAGTCCCTGTGAGCCCTTGGCAGATATCACACGTATGCCTCACTTATGCCCACCCACAGCATAGCACACTGTTTTTGATCGCACGCAGGGGAAAGCTTGCGATCAGAGTGCATTTACACTGCATTTGTGCACACATGTATGTATGCCGGCCGCAGTGCAATACAGGCTCCCAGCTCGTGTGCTCATGGGTGCCCTCTCAACTCAGTGGCACTGCCTCTAGATCCGCCCCTCTGCTTCCTCTAGCAAAATCAACTGTTCATCGCATACTGCCAATCCAGCATGCCATGGCTTTATGTGCCCTGTGTGCGATACACTTTCTGCAGTACTCTGGCAGAAAATTCTTTTGAGGGCCCGCTGCCGACGGAAATGTCATATCTGAAGGAGCTCCATGTCCTGTGAGTCGCACGTCTGCTTCAGCTGCTGCTGCTGCTGCTGCTGCCGCCGCCGCCGCCAGTGCCGCCGCTGCTGCTGCTGCTATCATTTTCCACCGTTCGCTTATATTCCATGTACAGCGTCGCTCCCATTGGCTGTGCGCTGTCTCCTTTCCCTCTTCAAGTGCCTAGTTTGGGAGCTCCACATGCGTGTGAATGTGAAATGTCTGTTCTTGTGTGCTTCCATTCAGGAGGCTAAGCCGCAACACCCTTTCGGGCCCTCTTCCACCCTTCCTTGCCTCATTCACTAACCTTGACACATTGTGAGTAGTGAGCGTCATGTCCTGCTGTGCAGATACCACACACCCTGCCTTCTTTCCTCACCTGCAGCATTTGTTCGTTGTGATGTTAAGTTCCTTGCATGCCTGAGAGGATATCAGACTGATTGTGCCTCGTCACAACGTCATATGGCCACTGTTGGCTTCGCTTCTGGTGGATGGTGGTGAGAGGCGCATTCAATTGATTCGAACCCTTCCTCATGCTTTATCGCATGTGCCCCTCCGGGCTTCCCGGGCAATTGCCTCGTGCCCATCACCCGTGCTGCTCTGCCTCTCCAGGACCCTTGACTTCAACAGTTTCACGGGCTCGCTGCCTGAGGGCCTGGGCCAGCTGCACAGACTCACACGCCTGTGAGCACCTCCCCTCCCCTTAGGCCGGCTGCCCGCCTGTTCCACGCCTTTCTCTAGAAAGGCGAATGGGAAAATCTCACATCCTCATTTGCTTTTTCCCCATCACGTCCTCGTGCCTATCTCCATCTCGCCCTGCTGCTGCAGAGAGGGAAGCTTGTCCCACAGCACGTGGCTGGCGGGTGCCCATGGCAACCTTCCCATGCACGTTTGTCCTGGTGCCATGGCAGTGGGGGATGGGGGGGGGGACAGCATCTGTAGCATAGCGCACTAATGGGAGGGCCATCACTGTCACTGTGATACGGCAGGCACCTGGAGTACAACCGACTAGAGGGCAGCATCGTGTCCTCCTTGGGAGCCCTCACCGACCTGCGCTACCTGTGAGCCCATAAGGCCATGGCAGCGTGCATCGCAGGGCAGGGTTCATACAAGTCAGGGTGCATTGCATGGTTCAGTTGCTTTTTGTGTCCATCCCCCAGTTTGTTTATGAAGTGGCTGTGGTTGACCATGTGTGACCGTTCTTGAGAGGTTGTTTTATGTATCTATTTCCACTGGCATGTCACTAGACATGATGTGTGTGTGTGTGTGTGTGTGTGTGTGTGGGGGGGGGTGCGTGCGTGTGCGTGCATGTGTGTGCATGGGTGAGTACGTGTGTGTGCGTGCGTGCATGTGTGCCTGCAGGGTGCTGGGTGTGAACGACTTCAGTGGCACCATCCCATCATCGCTGGGCAACCTCAAGAACCTGGAGGCACTGTGAGCCATCGTTACTGCCTTCCACTTCAACTTCCTTGCCAATCCCGCACAAGCTTCGATTGTTCCCCATTGAACTCCTTTATTCCGCTGCCTTGCATGAAGGGGGTGCTTAAGGCTTGTGTGGATCGAATGGTGTCATTGTTGTTGTGGCCATGCCCCCCCTCCCCCCCACCCACCCCCCCCCTCCCCCCTCCACGCACCCCTTCTCTGTGCTGCCGTGCCCATAGTGCCCTGCGTGACCTGCGCCTGCACGGCCTGCTTCCGCCGTCGCTTACCTCTCTGCAGAAGCTCTTTCACCTGTACGCCGTGCCTGTCTGTATCCACATGGTCCACTGTGATTGGCAGCTCGTTTTGATTCCCGGTGGTCGTGCTGAGACGTTACTTCGCAAGCATGGATGGGCATGTTGTCATGTGTCACATGATGTGCTGTGTGTGGTTCAGCACAACTGAAACAGAGTCGCTTGTAATGCTTGCACTCACAAGGCAAACCAGGTTCAATCCAGATTGGAACTCACCGAACCAGGCACTCCGGACTTACAAAATGTCTAACCACAGATTTGGTTGTGAAGTAACAAGGCAGGTTTGTTCCTTCATACAAAGTAACAGGATGGACAAAGTAACATGGTTCGTTCTTCTACCCGCCAATGGCTTGCTGCCTTTTTCTTTGTGTTGCTCTTTCAGCTGGCACCAATCTCACCTCTGCCTTGCCTTGCATGTGCGCTGTGTGGCAGGGAGCTGTCGTTCATGTACCTGTCGGGACACGTGGCACCCATCGTGGCTCCCATGAAGAAGCTCAAGATCCTGTGCGCACGACCTACTCTAACCTCATCATTCTTCTTGCGTCGTTGTCCGAGGTTTTGGTGCTGTACTGTATGAGGTGTACTGGGAATCGTCATCCAATCACTGCCCTCATCACTTCCCTCATCACTGCCCTCGTTACTCCCACCATACCTGTCTTTCAGGTTGCTGAGTTTCAACCAGTTTACAGGAGATGTGCCCATGCCAGCCTCCCCAGCCCTGTCCTCTGTTAACATTCAGAGCAACTACTTCACCTCCGCGCCCATCCGCCCTAAGAACTGCTCTGCTGTCAGCCTGAGGCTCTTTGACAACTGCCTGCCCACCCTGCTATGTGGCTCGCAGCAGCGGCAGAGGAGCAACGCGAGCTGCGCTGCGTTCTGTGGGCTGAGGCAGGGCGAGGTGCTGTGCAGTGGGCATGGGTACTGCTTCATGAATGAAAGCAGTGGCACGAGCGAGTGTGTGTGCGATGCCCACTACTCCACTCGCAATGACCCCCACACGTGCACATACACGAGTAAGCAAGCAAGTTTTGGATTGCATCGCCATCTGTTTTTCACCTCAGGTTACTTGTTGTTAGATCTTCTTCACTAAGCCACGTATGTCCATCTATCGTCTCTTCCCCCCTCCAGTTGACCCCGTGGTGGTCTCCTCAGCTGCCACCCCCATGGTGCCGAGTGGCTCGGCGCTGACCTCTGCTGGCGGTGCGCTGCTGCTCACCCCCAAGGCCAATGCCACCTGGGGCACGGCCTTCACAGCCGCGCCTCTCCCCCTCTTCTCTTACTTCAACACCAAGGCCACATGCGGTTACCAGTTCGCCTTCAACGTATCCCTTGCCTTCTCCCTCGACCCGGAGGCAGAGGCGGGCGGGGATGGGCTCGTGTTTGTCGTTGCTGCGGCGCTGCCAGACCGGCTGGGAGGGGTGGGGAAGCGGAGTGTGGCGGTGGAGTTTGACTCGGTGCTGAGTGTGAAGCACAGCGACCCCAACGACAACCACGTGGGCGTCAATGTGGGCGGCTCACCTGTGTCCCTCGCCTCTGCCACGGCCCCTCTCATCCTCAACGACGCCCACACCAAGCACGCCTGGATCCACTACGACCCCACCAGCGGCGGCACCCTCCGAGTCTTCCTTTCCTCCGACCCCGACCAGCCCCCTCCCCCCATCTTGCGAGCTCGAGTGTCGCTCTGCTCCATCCTGCAGCCCAAGGCGTCAGCTGCTGCATTCTACATCGGCTTCACAGCCTCGTCCACCGCCGGCCCACAAGCACACTCCGTCCTCAACTGGACCTTCACTGCAGGTTTGTGCCTCTCAAGCTCTCAGCTATGTGCCCCTTAGGGGTGTGTGTGCTTCTCAGGTTTGTGCTTCTCAGGTAGGCATAAGCAAAGGGTGAACAAATCCGAGCGAACCGAACATGCTTGGTTCGAACTTATTACTTTTTGCGAAATAATTGTTGGAGTTTTCCACCAGAAGGTCGAACACACGGGTGTGAAAGAACGAAGAGGAAGCTGTACGACTCCAACACAAACGTGTTCGATTCGAGCAGTCCTTTCGTGACTCGCTCAGTGCAACGTTCCTGTCGGTTTGGTTGGGGTAATTTAGGAAAAAAAAAAAATCCAAAGAGTTTCTATGAAGTCCCTATGCCTCTTGAGATATGCAAAAGGAGTTTTGAGCTTCTGTTATAGCACGAAGATCCCACAACTCATGATTGCGACCAGGTTTACTACTCTCGATTAGGTATAAGGCTATTTGTTGCAAGCACATGTTTCATGTGTAGCATTCATTCTCGAATGTAGATACAAGTTCTCTAACTCATAGCATCTTAGACCATTTCTGTAGTATTGGGCGATGTAGAAAATGGATCGCTAAACTTCTTGGCACAATGAAACAAAGAAAATAGCCATTGCAGGTAGATGAATACAAGCAGCAATGTCATTGTCCAAGGATGATATCTAGTGAAGTGGTGAAGCCATATATGTATGGTCGAACTTTTGATACTAGCAAGCAGCAGCACCTGAACCTTGAGGTCAAGGATAGCTTATCTTGGTAAAGTAGGAAGTGAGGCTTCATGTTGCACATGTGGGCCAGGCTGGAACAACAGTCCACATGGCAATATATGCACACCTCATCAACGCCTTTTGCTATTGCTTGCGTCCGTACCACTCCGTCATTCTGGTTGTCTGTTGTGGGTGCAGATGTTCCTCTCAACCCGCGCTTTGACCCTTCAAGTGAGTACGCTCGCCTTTTTCTTTCTCACCATGTGCGAGTCTATTTCGTTCACTGAATTCTTCACCCCATTCTTCATTTAGACTTCTTCTCCCAACTCCCAGCACTCTTTCCTTCTCCAAATTCTCAACACTCTTTCTCCTTCACTCCCACCAGACCTGGCGTTGGGGTTTGTGTTGGACGAGGACTCCTTCTCATTGCAGGGATTCAACGCCGCCTTCCACTACGCCAGTGCGGGCTTCGACCCCGCGCAGGACAACAGCCCCGCGTGGACTGTCAAGTCCTACAGCACCTGGGTCTTGCCTGAATCCGCCTGGCCTGTCAAGAACCAAAGGGGCTGCGGTGAGTGGCATGGTTGCAAGGCATGAACAGCACAATAGCTGCAAGATGTAGATCAGAGTTGAGACTTGACATAGTGAGCAAGTGAGAGGAGGGGGTTCTTGAGATGAGAGGAGCACATGCAGCCATTCATGTTCTTAGGCTGCAACTTAGAAAATTTTAGTGAGTTTGTTTTGGTTGGGTTGGGTGTAGACCTTTTCATATACACCCTAGTTATCATTATCCAACCATATCCATCCATCATCTCCATGATTTGGATCGATCCATCTAGGATTTCCTATCAACTACCTCTCATCTATCCAACCCGTCCTAGTCCAATGTACTTAATGAAGGTTTTGTACGTTTGTTTCTTGTCGATCGGTTTTACTCATTATAGGACACTTATCATCATGCACCATGAGAAGATTTGCACACCGTTTGTGCGTATCAACCAAGTTCGTGGGTGGGAGTGAGCACAGGCCATGTGACACCAAAGGACTTCATGTACCTTGTGTCCCACCCCACCTTAGGGGCCTTGTGCATGTCTCTTGAGCACTCTTGCAGAAGCTATCTTTACACAAGAGTGCATGAATACCATCACATAGCAACCCTTCTCATGCCATGCAGGTGATTGCTGGGCATACGCAGTGGTAGCAGCGGTGGAGGCAACTCGCCGCAGCCACCCGTCCTGTCGGTGGAGCATCTACGCCTCGCCCTCTCCTCCAACTGCGACGGTGGCTCGCCCACCAAGGCACTGCAGTTCCTCCTCAACGCCACCGCGCAGGGCAAGGGCTTGGTGGAACAGGCGGTGTACTCCCAGCAAATGGCTCTTCAAAGACGATCGCTGGTGAGTTCATCTGCTATTTCAGTTACGATGCATATCGATGTTTGGGTGTTGCTGCTAGTAACTCCTGTTTGTGGATCGTCGTCACGATATCCTGATCAATGTTTTTTTTTCCCTAATCGCTGTCTTTTTCCGTATTCCTCACTCCTGCCTACAGGCGAGCACCAAGTACTATGGCATCCGAGGCATCGAGCGCACGGGATTCTACGGGTGGTTTGGGCTAATGCTGGCAGTGCTTCGCCAGCCTGTCATTGTGCACATCGAGGCGTCCGCACCCTCCTTCCAAGACTACGATGGGGTAAGGCACCCTCCTTCCAAGACCATGATGGGGTAAGGCACCCACATTTTAAGACCACGATAGGGTAAGGCACCGTCCTTCCAAGACTACGATTCGGTAAGGCACCCTCCTTCCAAGACTGCGATGGGGTAAGGCACCCTCCTTCCAAGACTACGATGTGGTAAGCCACCCTCCGTCCAAGACTGCGATGGGGTAAGGCACCCTCCTTCCAAGACTACGATGGGGTAAGGCACCCTCCTTCCAAGACTACGATGGGGTAAGACACCCTCCTTCCAAGACTGCGATGTGGTAAGGCATGTCAAAATAGGGACTAGAACTTAGTAACCATAGATAGGGTTTAGTTAGCTATGCACAGGGGTGGTGAGATGAACTATCGAGAGAATTGGGCAAGGAGAGGATTCACTAAGAGAAGAGATATAGCAAGCCAAAGGGTGCACCACCAAACAGGACAGCTATATAACTACACTACAGCTAGAACTACATGCAATTATTCAGAAATATATATAAAATATATTTTGACACACCTCCTAAGTGCATGCAGGAATAGCCATGTGCAGAACACTCCCTGAAGTGTTACATCCTGCAGAGCATAGCAGAAAGAGAGGGGAAGTGAGGAGGAGGAGGGACTATGAGAGGAGAGGAGGTGGTAGGCGGCGGCTGAAGCTGCTGGCACACGGGCAACTAGAGCAACTGGCACACTGGCAACAGGAGCAACTGGCACACGGACAACTGGAGTAACTTGCTCCGCAGCTAGACGAGCGGCTGGAGCAACTGACTCACAGGCGACTGGAGCAACGGGCTCACGGGCGACTGGAGCAACGGGCTCACGGGCGACTGGAGCTGCTGGCTTTACGGCGGCCACCCCTCTTCAACCTCCCCCATTTTCCCAAAACTCCCATTCACACCCCTTGGCATCCCTAACGCCACTCCCTCGTCTCCCCCACACCCTCCCCCCCCCACAGCGGCAGTGGGAGAGAGAGGAGGAGGGGCGGCAGCTGATTACTCACACCCGCCACCCCCATACCCTTCCCCTCACTGCTGCACGCACAGCAGGGAGATGGAGGAGAAGGGGGGGCGGGGGGGGCGGGAGGGGCGGGGGGGGGCGGGGGGGGTGGGGTAGGAGCTGCGCGGGCGACAGCAGGGCGCGCGGGCGGGCAGAAACCGTTGCGCGTCCAAGGCGCGCGACGGGCAGAAACCGACGCGCGCCCGAGGCGCGCGACGGGCAGGAAAACGTTGCGTTCCTCGGGGCGCGCGACGGGCAGGAAACCGTCGCGCGCCCGGGGCGTGCGACGGGCACGAAATCGACGCACGCCCGGGGCTCGCGACGGGCAGAAAATCGACGCGCGCCTGGGGCACGCGACGGGCAGAAAACCGACGCGCGCCCGGGGCGTGCGACGGGCAGCAGAGTGGCGCATTTAGGGGAAGCTAACGGTGGGCCCAAGATCGATTTGCTCGATACCATGTCAAAATAGGGACTAGAACTTAGTAGCCATAGCTAGGGTTTAGTTAGCTACGCAAGGGGGTGGTGACATGAACTATCGAGCGAATTGGGCAAAGAGGGGATTCACTAAGAGAAGAGTTATAGCAAGCCAAAGGGTGCACCACCAAACAAGACAGTTATATAACTACACTACAGCTAGAACTACATGCAATTATACAGAAATATATATAAAATATATTCTGACAAGGCACCCTCCTTCCAAGACTATGATAGGGTAACGCACCCTCCTTCCAAGACTACGATGGGGTAAGGCACCCTCCTTCCAAGACTATGATGGGGTAAGGCACCCTCCTTCCAACACCACGATGGGGTAAGGCACCCTTTTTCGAAGACTACGATGGGGTAAGTCACCCTCCTTTCAAGACTACGATGGGTAAGACACCCCCCTCCATCCAAGACTACGACGGGCTAAGCGCTACAAATCCGAATTGAGAAGAGATTAGGACGTTCTGTTGTTAAAAGATAATGGGGTCGAGTCTGTAACAAACCCATTGGTTCGCCCACTGAAGTGGAGCTGGAGTAGCCTACCCTGAAGAACTCATGGTGGGTTAGTAGACATGCCGCCATTACCACCGGCCGGCCCCACCTTTTTGGATCGACTCCTAAGGTGGGGGCATGTTGATCATGTGTGTGTGCGGGCAGAGAGGCAAGATTGTGCTCAACATTGCTTATGACATGTTGCACATACCGTATAGTTCCAGCTAAAAGACCTGCCGGTAAGAAGGTCCCCCGGGACTCTTGAATGGGTAGAGGGACTCTTATTGTGGCAGGTTTTGTGAGGACCCCCATTTAGCCCTTATCATTATAAGACCCCCCTTGTCTGTATACAGTAGTTATTATTGCTATTGTGCGTCAGCTTTTACTAGCATAAATTCGAATTCTGACACGCTTTTTGTGTTAGAATTGAGTTCTGACACTTCATTTGTGTCAAACTTGTATTCTGACACAGATCCGACGCGCCGCGCGCGCGGAATCTGCGCGAATTCTTTACGAATATAAGACCCCCCCGCCCCAAATTGGGTTGTACACCCTAAATATCAGATTGCTAACAGATAAATATGTGTACCCCGGGTCTTCAAAAATTGTTGCCGCCATAATGTCCACCCAAACATATTCTTAAGCATTTGTAGAGAGTCCCCCGGGTCTTATAGCCGGAACTATACAGTATCTCTTTCCAGCTGCCTTTTGTTGTATGCCATGTTTCCATGTGTATTGTGGTCATGTGTGTGTGTGGGCAGAGAGGCAAGTACGCGGACGAGGAGTGTTTCAGCAACCACCTGAACCACGTGGTGCTGGTGGTGGGCTACCTCTCTGCGGGCTCCGACCCCTCCAACTCCGCCGTGCTGTCGCCCTTCTGGATCATCCGCAACTCATGGGGCACAGCCTGGGGCGACCAGGGCCACATGCGCATGGACATTCGCAGTGGCGACGGCATCTGTGGCATCAACACTCTCCCGGGCCTCTTTCCTGTTGTCAGAAGTACGGCTGACACGATATCTTGCTGTTTTGAGCATCCATATTCTCGCAGCTGGTGATTTTCCCCTCTGTCTTTACCATACCACATTTGCCGTGTGCCCACACCCCATTCCCACCTGATGTGATGAGCAGGCAGTGCTGATCCGTGTGGGTCACGCTCCTTCCAGTACAGCATTCAAGGCCCCGCCTTCAACCCGTGTGGGCGGTATAACTGCAGCAAGAAGGGCACCAGCAATCGCTGCAAGTGCACTGACGCCCGCTTTGCTCAAGTCAAGAACACCGATGGGTCGTACACCTGTGCCTATGGTATTTCTCACCAGGGGGGGCATTGGTAGTGGTGTGCGGACTAGTGCGTCCATTCAAGTTGCTCTTAATGGAGTTTTTTGTTCAGCCTATCGGTTGGGTCCTTCTGCTTTGAAATGCACAACCCCGCTAGCTAGACTTCAACCTGCACTTGGCCAATGTCTGCTTATGTTTATGCCTGCACCCATATCCTTATACCATACCCACATCATGCCTTCCCCATGCACACCGCATGCCCTGCCCATGCACACAGCATGCATTCCCCACCCCAGGCACATCCCGATTCCCTCCCCATGCACATCCCGATTCCCTCCCCATGCACATCCCGATTCCCTCCCCATGCACATCCCGATTCCCTCCCCATGCACATCCCGATTCCCTCCCCATGCACATCCGGATTCCCTCCCCATGCACATCCCGATTCCCTCCCCATGCACATCCCGATTCCCTCCCCATGCACATCCCGATGCCCGCTGACAATGTCCATGCATACCCCATTGCCGGCCCCACTCTTCTCCCCTCGCCCCCAGTGGACGTGTGTGGGTCCAGCACTCGCAACCCATGTGTGGTGGGCACGTGTGTGAACGATGGCAAGGGCAGCTACTCCTGTGTGTGTCCCCCGGGGTTCATCCAGGGCACCACCCTCGCCAGCACCGCCTCCTGTGCTCCGGGTAACACCCCTCTGCTGCTCTCCTCCTGTGCTCCGGGTACCTGCTTTCTCCTCCTGTGCTCCGGGTACCTGCTTTCTCCTCCTGTGCTCCGGGTAACCACCCCCTGCCGCTGCCTGATCTATTTTCCTCTGTTCCGGGCAATGTTGCACATTTGGTAACATAACAGTCCCCTTCTGTTGGTCACTGTCTTTTTTTTTTCTCTTGGTTACACCCACCATTCAAATGGTCCGCCGCATGCGTGCAGCAGTAAACCGTGCATGCTTCCTCATTGTTCTTATCGCATCTCATGTTCCACTTCTAAGTCCCACTGACTTGTGCTGGGAATTGGTTGTGAGTGGCATGGTGGTGCAGGGGATGCAGGGGGGGTGTACACAGTGCAGCAGAGCAACGTGTGGTGCTCCCATGTGCATCCCATATTCGCCCTCACACTGGACCAGTTCACGCAGCAGAACAAGGTACCTACCAGGCCGCTGCTGCTGCATATGCTTGCCGCCTGCTGCAAACATGCCGCATTGGTTCCCATGTGTATCCTTGGTTCTACTTTATCCCTGCATAACACATGCTTGTGATAGTCGATTCCCTGCATGTGCCATCATCCCATGCATGTGCCATCATCCCATGCATGTGCCATCATCCCCTGCACCTCTCTCAGGGCATCGTCTGCTCGGCTCCTCTGCGCCTCAACGCAAGTCTGCTCGTCAACTCCACAGTGCAACCCTGCTCTGTCTTCTACACCACCCTGCTTGTGAGGGTTCCAATCAGGGACTAGCTGTACATTGCTGTGTATTCACGCACAGCGCAAAGACAGTGTGCCACATTCTCCTTCTCGCTTCACAACCAAAGGGCATCTTATGTTCTGCTATGTACCAGCAAAATGGTTGATAGTTTTGAAACGTATGTGGAAAGCCACTCCCTATTGCCCTCTCGTTGCCCTCCTTCTGTAATACCCTTTCATCTTCCCATGTCCTTTCAGGGTGACACGTGCACGGGGGTGGCGCGGCAGGTGGAGCTGTGTGGGGCGGCGGTGTCGGATGCGGAGTGTGAGGCGGCATTTCAGGCGCTCAACCCCGCTGTGGACTGCTCCTCCCTGAGGCCCTCCCAGGCCGTGTGCCTGGAGAGGGACCCCGGGGTGGCGAATGTGACAGTGGTGTGCGACCAGTACTACCGGGCGCGCCTCAACGACACGTGCGACAGCATCAGGCAGCTGGCCGAGCCTCCTCTCAGCCCCGTGGACTTCTACCGCCTCAACCCCGGCGTCAACTGCAACCAGCTCATCCCCCTCAACAACCACTCACGCTCCGCCACCACCTTTGGTGCTGAGGTGAGTCACTGTGGTGCATGCAGTGTGGTGCATGCAGTGGGGTGCGTGCAGTGTGGTTAAAAAAAAAAAAAAACCACAGTCAATGTAGGACTTAACTAAGGGGTCGGGTGTGCACCCAATCCAGCTTGTGGTGTGTTCAGCAGGAGATTTGGTTGTCGATTGGAACATGAAATGGTTCTAAACATGGCTAAATGCCAATCTTGGACCACATTAGTTGCAGAACCAGACTCCACATGCAACTTGTCTGCTCATTGTTCTTCATGGCATCCTGAAGGCCGTCAATGGAGACAACACTGCAAGTCGAGGGAGAAGGGACGACACGACCAAAAGGAATTGCACTGCAGAGTCCAAAAGAGTGTCAGACAGCGCGTGCTTGAGGCAGTTCAGCCAACTGGAGAATTTGCTGCATGCACTGCTATTGAGTGTAAGAGCGTGTTCCTACGGCCTCATATCAGGCTACCTAGTATCAGATTCGCGTCGAACCGCACTAAAACGCATCCAAACCGCAGCCGAACACGCTGAAACACATTTTACCACGCGAAGCTGATTCGAGGTGTGTCTGATACGAGGTGTAGGAACACGCTCTAAGGTGGAGAAGGAGAGCCAAAGGAAGAGGCTGTGAGGAGGAATCAGTTGCTGAACAGCTGAGAGCCGAATAAAAAGGTGAGCACATGGTGATGAGGAAGCACGTGAAAGGTAGCACCCAGAGCAAAGTCGTGCGGAGTTGAGTTGACGGTGTGCTAGTAATGTTGCATGCAAGCTGTGTCCTTCATTCACTCAAGAATTTTGTTGCTCCCCGCTCGTCCCTGCATTGTATACCCCACCCCACACGCCACCTCTCTTGTGCCTGCAGGTGTGCATTGGCAGCGTGACCAACTTCACAGCGGGCATCTGTTCCAGGACCAGCACCTACACCATCTCACCAGGGGATGACTGCAAGTACATCAATGTCAAGTACTTCTACAGCATCAAGGGCTGCTACAGGCGAATGAATGGGTACGAATGTGTTGATAAGTTAAGGCCTGGAGTCACAATTTGCACGCCAAGTGCAAAAAAGGCCCGAATTGGGAGTTGCAGCATCTGACCCGAATACATCTTTGCTCCGTACATACCCAATGTACATAATGTTATTGCGGCAATATTGGGCAGCAGCCCCTCAAGTACCGTATTTACCCGGTATTGGATCCCCCGGCTTCACAGCCCCCGGAGCGATGGTGCGATGCGAGTGTAACCACTGCCTTACAGAGAAGAGGGAATATCTGCTCACGAATGCAAGGGAAATTCCAGGCGAACAAATAAAGATTGGAAATTAAAAAAGGTAGCAGACAGATGAATTATGCAGCCAGAAACAGCCGGAGAAGGGTATGGTGCAATGCAGCATACCTGTGACGAAGTTCCAGGACAAAATGGCATGTCTCTGGGGCTGGCTCCCTGAGAGGGCGACGAAGCCGAAGTGGAAGAGAGAGTCGGACGCAGTGGGCTTGAGCACGGAGCAGAGAGACACGCTTGCTGTGAGGGTGGGGGTGAGGGGCTGCTGGGGGTCGGAGGAGAGGAAGACTCGGAGAGTGCCGTCGCTGGTAGGGTCGTAGTGGATCCAGGCGTGCTTGGTGTGGGCGTCGTTGAGGATGAGAGGGGCCGTGGCAGAGGCGAGGGACACAGGTGAGCCGCCCACATTGACGCCCACGTGGTTGTCGTTGGGGTCGCTGTGCTTCACACTCAGCACCGAGTCAAACTCCACCGCCACACTCCGCTTCCCCACCCCTCCCAGCCCCACACTCGCCCCCTTGCCAGAAGCAGCTGCTGCCACCACAAACGCAAGCCCGTCCCCACCCGCCCCCTGATCCCCGGGGATCATTGCAAAGCTGAAGGCAACTCGGAAGCCCAGCTCAGTTCCGCAGGGAGAGCGCTTGTCAGGAATGTAGAAGAGGCGTATGGTGGGCGACGCAAAGGCAGAGCCTTGCTGGCTGGCGGCACCGCTGGTGAGCAGAATGGAGCCGTTGGAATGCAGAGAGGCAGCGCCCCTGATGGAGACGTACGCCAAGGCAGACGCCAGAGATGTGCGTGCAGCTGTAGTGGAGGGGGGCGAAGGCACAGTTCCAGCAATATTTGGTGTCAGGCTCAACTAAGGCCTAGAAATATCAAATGAGTAGCATTGGTGTGCAGGAGCGTCTGGTTTGAAGAATGTGTTTACCTCCTGGCACACAGGCGTTGGTGTTGCTGCTGCTGACCATGTAGTTGGGATCGCACACACACTCCCTTGCTCCAGTAACGGTATTCCAAGAACAGTAGCCATGGCCCCCACACAGAGGGCCAGTGGCACCGACCTCCAGCCCACAGAACGCAGCACAGTCGGCAGCAGACCTCTGCTGGTAAACAAGGCCGCAGATGCCATTGTAAGGCGTGAGGCAGTTCAAATACGTCATCCATGTGACTGCAGAGCAGTTGGTGAACTTGACCTGCCCGTGCGAGAAGAAGTTCTCGGCAACAGCGTACGCCTGCACGCCTGCTGCTGCAGGGCTGGGCAGGCGCCCAGAGAACAAGTTGTTGTTCAGATACCTGCCATGCCAATGCAGCAGGATGCACGGGCGGCCAAGCAAGTTGAGATCGTTGTGCATGCTTGGGGTTGAAAATAATGAAGTGAAGAGAGAATCAGGACTGTGCGTGTACGCAGGTGTGTGGTGATACCCACAATGAAGTGACGTTCTTCATGCCTCGTATGATGGGCTCAACGGGGCCTGAGAGATGGTTGAATGACACAGAACTGAGAGCATGGTGCACGGAGTAACACACGTGAGCACGTGAATTTGCACAGGGCGTAAGCGGTGGTTCACTCCAGACGGTGCTGACCAATTCAAGAACATGGTGCCACCAACCAAGAGCCATGGAGGTTCTATATGAATTGGATTTGCAGGTAGACGGGCTTTCGATATTCCAAGGCAGGGGAACTGGTGTGATACGGAACGGATTTCATAGCTTAGAGTGAGCAAACGAGTCAAGAAAAAAGTTGTACTATGCATAAAAAAAACCTTCTTCAAACAGAAACACTGGAGAGAGAGAGTGGCTAAAGAAAGAGGTGTTGGGACTTGTACAAATATTCCAGCTTGGAGAGGCTCTGGAGGGTGCTTGGGAGAGTCCCTTCTAGCTGGTTGCCAAAGATGTCCCTGCTTGGTCCATGCACATCACATGCACATCACATACAAATCACATGCACATCACATACAAATCACATGCACATCACGTACAAATCACATGCACATCACATACAAATCACATGCACATCACATACAAATCACATGCACATCACACGCACATCACATACAAATCACATGCACATCACATGCAGATCACATGCACATCACACGCGCATTCACACGCACATCACACGCACACCACACACACATCACGTAGCAGCAGCGCCATCGTGTACCCTTTGAATGCAGGGAGTAAAACACGGTGTTGCCAATCCAGCACAAGGCAGGGTGCAAGTTACAGCTATGCTCAAGTGGAGTCGCCAGGATGGAAGCAGTGCTGTATCCGTGCAGCTGTGCTGTATCTTTACAGTACGCACAGGTCCCGCAGCTTGGTGAGTTTCCCAATGGCTGTCGGGATGGATCCAGACAGCTGATTAACCCCCAGCCACCTGCCACCCGCCACAAGAGCCGAGAAGATGGACGGTTGTGGGTCAAACGGTGGATGGGGTGGAGCAATGAATGATTGAGGTGAAAAGAATGAATTGATTGACGGGGGCCGAAGGAGAGGGGGGGAGGACAATTTGGCACTATGTAATGCAGACACTTTGTCACGTCCTGAGACGGTGGGTGATTTCGCAGCAAAAGGTTGACACCACCCTCTTGGAAAAGCATGGGCAAGGCTGAAGATGAGGCGAAACACGATGTGCTTTGCAGCAACGGGCTGTGGCGACTCACAGGTACTGCAAGCTCAGAATATCGCCCAGCGCTGCAGGTATGCTTCCCGAAAGATGGTTGGCACCGAGAAACCTGAGATGAGAATGGTGTAAACCATGTAGAATCTTAAAAGGGTTTGTACTTCCGAGCACCCCACGTATCTGTATTAGGCTGCGCGTACGTACGCGTCAATACGTACATGTAGGAAACGTCAAGCAGGGTACATGTTTGGGCAGCTTTGTTCAACCTGCCTGGAAACGTAAACAAACCTCAGGTGCATGTACATAACGTACAAAGTACGTAAAGGTATTTGTAACTTGTAACATCCAAAAACGGCTTGAGCAGAAGAACGAAGCACCTGTATGGTTCGCCTTGAACATGTGAGTGCCGAGCCGCGTCGAACGCGAACGTGTTTCTGTTCGAAACCAGTACCACACGTATCATCTCTGTATGTTGTTGCTAACAAACGTTACAATACTTGTTTTTTATTCCACACCCCCCCAAACCATTCAGGGTGTAGGGCACTGATACAGTATTATTATGTTTCCCAACGAATGACTACGGCGAAATACACCGACTATGGGGAGCAGAAGCATGTTCGCCTCAAACATGTACGTGTTCGAGGCAAACACGTAAGTGTTCGCTTGTAAAGGCAAACACGAACACCATTTTCTGAAGAACGCGCTCGGGTCAAACCAATTCGGTTTGCCCCGATAACATGTTTAAAAGGAGTCTGAACCCCCTAACGTCCATGTTCGGGTTTTGCTCAACCGTAAATTAAAATACAGCATGCTCAAGACTAGAATATCGGGTCTAGATGTTGGGTTGGATTTTATTCCCCTTGGCATTAAAGTCCCCAATCCCGAATCAGTTCTTTGTTCGTAAACGATTTTAACAGTCGGGGTTAATTCTCAACCAACACTGGTGGACAACCAATAATGTTGGTCAACCCAACCGAGTCTACCCATCTTTGACCTCACCTTCCACCTCTATGTGTACCCCTGAGCTCCCTTGGACCCCTGAGCTCCCTTGGGCAAACAACGACCTAAACCCAAGACATGGATGAGAATGGTGTGATGTGAAACATGGATGGGAACGTTGAGAATTGATGCTTACAGAACATCAAGGCGCGGCAGTGATGCCAGAGAGGCTGGA